AGTGGTTGGTGCAATATTTAATAAATGTATGGAAGAGGGTAAGGTACCTAGGGATTGGCAGAGAGCATGCATAGTTCCTTTGTATAAAGGCAAAGGGACAAAAGAGAGTGCAAAAATTATAGGGGGATAAGTCTGTTGAGTATACCTGGTAAAGTGTATGGTAGAGTTATTATTGAAAGAATTAAGAGTAAGAAGGAGAATAGGATAGCAGATGAACAAGGAGGCTTTAGGAAAGGTAGGGGGTGTGTGGACCAGGTGTTTACAGTGAAATATATAAGTGAACAGTATTTAGATAAGGCTAAAGAGGTCTTTGTGGCATTTATGGATTTGGAAAAGGCGTATGACAAGGTGGATAGGGGGGCAATGTGGCAGATGTTTTCAGGTGTATGGTGTAGGAGGTAGGTTACTGAAAGCAGTGAAGAGTTTTTACGAGGATAGTGAGGCTCAAGTTAGAGTATGTAGGAAAGAGGGAAATTATTTTCCCCGTAAAGTAGGCCTTAGTCAAGGATGTGTGATGTCACCGTGGTTTGTTTAATATATTTATAGATGGGGTTGTAAGAGAAGTAAATGCGAGGGTCTTGGCAAGAGGCGTGGAGTTAAAAGATAAAGAATCACACACAAAGTGGGAGGTGTCACAGTTGCTCTTTGCTGATGACACTGTGCTCTTGGGAGATTCTGAAGAGAAGTTGCAGAGATTGGTGGATGAATTTGGTAGGGTGTGCAAAAGAAGAAAATTAAAAGTGAATACAGGAAAGAGTAAGGTTATGAGGATAACAAAAAGATTAGGTGATGAAAGATTGGATATCAGATTGGAGGGAGAGAGTATGGAGGAGGTGAATGTATTCAGATATTTGGGAGTGGACGTGTCAGCGGATGGGTCTATGAAAGATGAGGTGAATCATAGAATTGATGAGGGGAAAAGGTGAGTGGTGCACTTAGGAGTCTGTGGAGACAAAGAACTTTGTCCTTGGAGGCAAAGAGGGGAATGTATGAGAGTATAGTTTTACCAATGCTCTTATATGGGTGTGAAGCATGGGTGATGAATGTTGCAGCGAGGAGAAGGCTGGAGGCAGTGGAGATGTCATGTCTGAGGGCAATGTGTGGTGTGAATATAATGCAGAGAATTCGTAGTTTGGAAGTTAGGAGGAGGTGCGGGATTACCAAAACTGTTGTCCAGAGGGCTGAGGAAGGGTTGTTGAAGTGGTTCGGACATGTAGAGAGAATGGAGTGAAGCAGAGTGACTTCAAGAGTGTATCAGTCTGTAGTGGAAGGAAGGCGGGGTAGGGGTCGGCCTAGGAAAGGTTGGAGGGAGGGGGTAAAGGAGGTTTTGTTTGCGAGGGGCTTGGATTTCCAGCAGGCATGCGTGAGCGTGTTTGATAGGAGTGAATGGAGACAAATGGTTTTTAATACTTGACGTGCTGTTGGAGTGTGAGCAAAGTAACATTTATGAAGGGGTTCAGGGAAACCGGCAGGCCGGACTTGAGTCCTGGAGATGGGAAGTACAGTGCCTGCACTCTGAAGGAGGGGTGTTAATGTTGCAGTTTAAAAACTGTAGTGTAAAGCACCCTTCTGGCAAGACAGTGATGGAGTGAATGATGGTGAAAGTTTTTCTTTTTCGGGCCACCCTGCCTTGGTGGGAATCGGCCAGTGTGATAATAAAAATAAATATATATGTATATATATATATACATAATATATATATATATATATATATATTATATATATATATATATATATATATATATATATATATTATATATATATATATATATTATATTTTAAATGTAATAAACACTTGAGAGTGCTCAGAAATTCAAAAGATTAATCGGTCTGTGTGTTTTGATACCTATCTGAGATCCTCTTCAGCAGACACATAAGTGAGCATGTACAGGTTAGTTCACCAGGATGGGTCCTGGCCCGAGTCTTCTTCATGCGGTGACCCGACACACATAGGTGAAAGGAAAACATGAATATATAGGGTAGATTGCATCTTTCCCCGTGGCGCGTGGGGGGGGAGGGGACGTGTTAAGTTAACTTCACCTGTGGTGATGCTTAAAATTTATGATGGAAGTTCGTTTGTGTTATGTGATTCCTGATGTTGTTAAGTTGGGCGCTGGTTAGTATTTCTTGAGGGCTAATTTTGAAATAATATCTGGTTTCCATTGTTCCTGTGAGATGCTGAAACTGGAGTGGTGAATATGAGGGCAGATTCTATGATTTTGCGTTTGTAACTGCAGTGTGATTTCTGTTTGATGGTGGCGGCTTCCCAATGAATATTGTGATTGTTGATGCCGACATGTTGAAAAATAAAAAATGAATTATCGTGTGCATGACAGTGTCCTCTGGTGTCCGATGATCCTTGTAGATAATGTTCGTCTTGTCCGTCCTAGGTATGTTTTGCTGCAGTCTTTACATGGTATCTAGTAAACTTCAGATACCATGTAAAGACTGAGAGTTGACCAAATATCTAGTATACATCAGGCAGACAGACCGAACCATTGTATCATCCTAAATAATAATTATAACAACAATTATTATTATTTTATTATTATTATTATTTTAAAACAATTTTCTTTAGCTATCAAAACCTGAATCAGTTAAATAAAATAATTAATGTCATATTTCATAATTCCTGAGCTCCTGTCTTTTATAATTATTTATTTGCAATAACCTATTTGAACTACCTGGGTTGAACTCTAGTTCTTGGTCTTGGCTCACAGATTTCCACTGACGTGGTTGTACGATTTGAGGTAATGATTAGGGAGATGGGGAATAGAAGAAAGAGACGAGGAATAGGGAAAGAGGAAGAAGACGAATGGGGGAAGGGGAAGAAGACGAATGGGGGAAGGGGAAGAAGAGGAATAGGAGAGAGGTAATTAAAGGGAAAGAGAAGAAGAAAAACGGGAAAGGGGAGAGGAACAGGAATAAAGGGAAAAAATAGGTTTAAAGGTATAGGGAAAGGGAAGGAGGGGACCATTAGGTGACAAATGAGGGGAGTCTGGCCACCATCACCACACATCAGCACAGGAATGTCCCCTCACCTACCTTAGTGCTGACGAGACTGACACTTCCCCTCCCTCCCTCCCTCACACCCTTCCTCACTTCCTCCCACATTACTATATTATCTTAGTCTCCGGCTGTGTTGGTGTTTTTATCTTCCTCTCCGTCACTGATTACCTGAGTGACATCTTCATCTCTCTCTCTCTCTCTCTCCACCATATTACTTTCTTTGTTTTTCTCTCCCATGCCACATCTCTCCATACCTCTTCCTATCTCATCTCCTCCATCCTACCTCTTTCCATCCTCCCACCTTCTCATGCCACCTCCTCCTATACTCAGCCCTCCCATGCCACTTCCTCCCATCCCACATCCTACCCTCCCTCCCATCCGCCTTCTGTCCACTCAACGTTTCTTCCTCTCCTTTTTCTATCGTTCCCACCTCCTCCCACACTTCCCAATGATTCCCCCTTCCACGCTGCTCCTCCCTACTTAATCCCTCCACCCATAAACACTCCCACACTTTCCCCTCACACCCCTCCTGACCTAACTACACCCTCATCCTCCTGAACTTTCCCCTACCCGTTGGCTCCCCTTCCTCCTAGACTCCCCTCGGCATATTTTCCCCTCCTTCTGGGTGGATGCCAGAAGTGCCAGCATTCCTGTTGCCTCTCCACACCTCATAATTAGTGGACCTGGCAGCAACCTGAGCACTGGTGTTTCCGTGATGCTACTGATTAAGAGGGTGAGAGTGGCACTGGTGGGGTGAGGGTGGCACTGGTGGGGGTGAAAGTGGCACTGGTGGGGTGAGGGGTAGCACTGGTGGGTGCGAGGGTGACACTGGAGGAGTGAGGGCGGCACTGGTGGGGTGAGGGGTAGCACTAGTGGGGGTGAGGGTGACACTAGAGGGGTGAGGGTGGCACTGGAGGAGTGAGGTGTGACACTGATAGGGGTGAGGGGTTATAGTGAGTAATAGTGATGATGGCGGCACTATCTAAATGACGGCAAGAAACCTTTGAGGCTGCCGTAGTTGCTGAACCCAGCGTAGAAAATACTTGACAATATCCTCATTGCCTCTCAGCTCAGGGTGACACTACGGAAGCCTCCCAGCTCAGGGTGACACTACGGAAGCCTCCCAGCTCAGGGTGACACTACGGAAGCCTCCCAGCTCAGGGTGACACTACGGAAGCCTCCCAGCTCAGGGTGACACTACGGAAGCCTCCCAGCTCAGGGTGACACTACTGACGTCTCCCATGTCAGGCTGACACACCTCTTTACCTCGTGTATATAACCTCACCCTTAATGATGGAGTATGAAAGGGAAACATTTCTAGCTTATGCTCCCAAATTGTCAAAACAAACAATTTGTTTGTTTTGATAAAATAAGTATTGTATAGAACAGTGTATGCACACGCTGAGGATATCCCTACTAAGATCACTGAGTGAAGCAGCACACAGCGAATTCTTCCACCATGTATCATACAGAACAGTGTAACACATACTACTGGTGGTCCCACATTGTAACTATCATACAGAACATTGAAGCACGTACTACTGGTGGTCCCACATTGTAACTATCATACAGAACATTGAAGCACATACTACTGGTGGTCCCACATTGTAACTATCATACAGAACATTGAAGCACGTACTACTGGTGGTCCCACATTGTAGCTATCATACAGAACATTGAAGCACATACTACTGGTGGTCCCACATTGTAACTATCATACAGAACATTGAAGCACATACTACTGGTGGTCCCACATTGTAACTATCATACAGAACATTGAAGCACGTACTACTGGTGGTCCCACATTGTAGCTATCATACAGTACTGTGTAGATACACTGCTGGTGGTCCCACATTTTAACTATGATACAGAACAGTGTAGCAACACACTGCTGGTGGTCCAGCATCGTAACTGTCATACAAAACAGTATAGAAGCACACTGCTATATACCAAATTTAGTTTCTACATATTAAAAAAATGAGTGAGCAAGGATGGGTGAGTTGTGGCACTGAGTGAAGCTCTGTGAGTAATATGGCACCGCACTCACCTATTTGTAGTTGAAGGGTCGAGTCTGTTCCTCGCAGTGAGGGGGGGGTAAGAGAGAGAGAGAGCAAGAGAGGCACTGTACTTTCTTGCTCTCTCTCTCTCTCTCTCTCTTCTCTCTCTCTCTCTCTCTCTCTCTCTCTCTCTCTCTCACACACACACACACACTCCCACCTGTCGCACATAACGTAAATGAGGGAAGAGAGAACGAGTGACACAGATAAGGAAAGATAAGAGACAGGGACACGTGTGTGAGGGAGGTAATGAGACAGACAAACAAACATGTCCCCAGGATCTCTACGGGGACATACATTATTATTATCTTCGGGAGTATAACAGATGAGTACAGTGAGTCAGTGCGTCTGTCTGCCTTTATGCGGCTGGAAGATCGAGTCTCCACTACGCCCACAGCGCTTAGCATGCACTAAATTTTTTAGCATTATGTTCATGGAGGAGCGCTAAACCCCTAGGGGAGGTCATACAGAGCATGAGGTTAGGAGATCAAGCCTGAGCCCAGGAAGGGAAAGCTAGTCCCATATAAATGAAAAGTACTGATGCTGGGAGCCAGATAAAATGACTGATAACAGTGTATTATCTAGGACCATAGTAGTGATAATATTGTAATCATGATATCAGTAAAGTAATGATAACAGTGTAACAGTCACGATAATAGTGTAGTAGTGATGGTAACAATGGTGTAGTGATAACAGTGTAATAGTGATAGTATAGTAGTGATGATAACAGTGCATTATTAATGACAACAGGGGTAATAGAGATAACAGTGTAGTTATAATAACAGTGTCATAGTGATTATAACAGTGTAGTAGTGATAATAACAGTGTAGTAGTGGTGATAACAGTGTAATAGTTATTATAACAGTGTAGTAGTGGTGATAACAGTGTAGTAGTGGTGATAACAGTGTAGTAGTGACAATAACAGTGAAGTTGAAATGATAATGTACCACATTTTCCATCATATAAGACGCGCTATATTTTTCCATAAAAAGTAAAAAAAATCAAGCGTGCGTCTTATATGCTCAAAGTCAGGGTCAAGGGTAGACTTTGAGTTGCACTTTAACAGTTGTTTAGTAACATTACGTTAAAGCTGCTTATATGCCGGAAAACACAGTAACTTTCCCCACTGACAAAAATTATAAATCCCATATTTAAACCTCTAACTAAATTTTCATGATTGAAATATTTTCAAACGCCATATATGGTAACAATCTTCTCTGATTATATGTAGCACAGACTAAAAATTTAATTTTACAAGACCTGTTTACATAAATAATTAAGGTTTATATAATGTAATGCAGTTCTGCCCTGGTTTTGATAATAATAATAATAATAATAATAATAATAATAATAATAATAATAATAATAATAATAATAATAATAATAATTAATAATAATAATAAGAATACGAATAAAAGTAATAAAATATAATAAAGAAAATAATAAACGTATCAGTTCCTTAATAAATAAAATCAAATAAAAATTAAGATATTCTCTTATAGGTAACAAAAACGTAACTCCTCAACCTTTTCCTCATTCTCCACCTCTTCCCCTTCCTCTTTCTCCACCTCTTCCCCTTCCTCTCTCTCCACCTCTTCCCCTTCCTCTTTCTCCACCTCTTCCCCTTCCTCTTCTCACCCTCCTCTCCCCTTCACTCTTCTCGTCCCACTCTTCCCCTTCATCTTTAAGTGACCTCTTCTTCCTTCTTACATCACCATGTGGTGACGTTGTTCTGGTCTCGGTAGTTACATCACCATGTGGTGACGTTGCTCTGCATCTGTAGTTACATCACCATGTGGTGGACGTTGTTCTGGTCTGGTAGTTACATCACCATGTGGTGGACGTTGTTCTGGTCTGGTAGTTACATCACCATGTGGTGGACGTTGTTCTGGTCTATCACCATGTGGTGGACGTCGTTCTGGTCTGGTAGTTACATCACCATGTGGTGGACGTCGTTCTGGTCTGGTAGTTACATCACCATGTGGTGGACGTCGTTCTGGTCTGGTAGTTACATCACCATGTGGTGACGTTGTTCTGGTCTGGTAGTTACAATTTCATTCATTTTGAAAGGTGGACGTTGTTCTGGTCTGGTAGTTACATCACCATGTGGTGGACGTCGTTCTGGTCTGGTAGTTACATCACCATGTGGTGGACGTCGTTCTGGTCTGGTAGTTACATCACCATGTGGTGGACGTCGTTCTGGTCTGGTAGTTACATCACCATGTGGTGGACGTCGTTCTGGTCTGGTAGTTACATCACCATGTGGTGGACGTCGTTCTGGTCTGGTAGTTACATCACCATGTGGTGGACGTCGTTCTGGTCTGGTAGTTACATCACCATGTGGTGGACGTCGTTCTGGTCTGGTAGTTACATCACCATGTGGTGGACGTCGTTCTGGTCTGGTAGTTACATTACTATGTGGTGGACGTCGTTCTGGTCTGGTAGTTACATCACCATGTGGTGGACGTCGTTCTGGTCTGGTAGTTACAGTACCATGTGGTGGACGTCGTTCTGGTCTGGTAGTTACAGTACCATGTGGTGGACGTCGTTCTGGTCTGGTAGTTACAGTACCATGTGGTGGACGTCCTTCTGGTCTGGTAGTTACATCACCATGTGGTGGACGTCGTTCTGGTCTGGTAGTTACATCACCATGTGGTGGACGTCGTTCTGGTCTCGTAGTTACATCACCATGTGGTGGGTGATGTTCTGGTCTTCGAGATAAATCATCACATGATGGGTGACGTTCTTGTCCGGGAGTCGAACTGTATCTTAGTGCATCGGAGTAACTAACTGGGGTTCGAGAATGGAAGGTTCTACTCTACACTGTTATATTTTTTTCTTGTTCTGCAGTTGATTGAAGGTGTTGCTGTTGTTATGACTCTTTAGCGGGGATAGGTGTTGTTAGTTAGCGAGCACCGGCGGTGTTTGTAGTTCGAACATCCTCCTGGTAGGATTCAGGATGATGGGAGCCATTATTATTTTTGTATTTTGTTTTATCTGGCGCAGCTCCAGGGATCACTGGTGTCACCCTCAGTCGTCGTGGATTCTCCCCTTTGGGACCTGAAGCTTCATATCCGTGAAGCTTCAGTGCTTCATCGCGACAAAGTTTGTTTTCATACTTTGCAAAGCCGTATCCTCGATGACCCCTCGCCCCTCGGGGCAAAGAGAGCTGGATTAAGCCACCGTATTTTTCAAAGATTTTTCTCACTTCGGGATATTGACACTCGAAAGGTATGTTGCTTATAAACACACTAAAGTCGGTCTGCTTTTCCGGACCAATTTCTGGTTTCCCACAGGTAAGTGGCTGATTCTTGGGGAGTGGCTTACCTTGTGGGAGTGGCTTATACTTAGGGGGAGGTATAATTTCCATGTCGGAGATGGGTGTTGAGGAGGGGTGAGGGAGTGGGCTTGTGTTGTGATCAGGGAGGAGAGAGGTTTCAGATTCGGGGAGATTTGTTTTAAGAAGGGCAGGGAGGGGAGTTGATTCAGGATCAGGGAGAGTCTGGTATTTTGGGGCTGAAGCTCTGGTAACCTCCGTGCTACCGGCAACCTCAGGCTTGCTAGAAAGAGCTGAATACCCACCTCTTCCCCTTCCTCCTCTTCCTCCACCTCTTCCCCTTCCTCCTCTTTCTCCACCTCTAACCGTTCCTACTCCACCTCTTTCCCTTCCTCCTCCTCCTCCACCTCTTCCCCTTCCTCCCCCACCTCTTCCCCTTTCTCCTCCTTGCCCTCTTCCCCTTCCTCTTCTTTCACCTCCTCCTCTTCTACTCAGTGGTGAGAGATGTTCTGATCTCGTAGTTATATCACCATGTGGCAGATGAGGTTCTGGTCTGACAGACAAATCATCACATGGTGGGTGATGTTCTGGTTCGGGAGATAAATCATCACATTGTGGGTGATGTTCTGGTCCGGGAGATAAATCATCACTTGGTGGGTGATGTTCTGGTCCGGGAGATAAATCATCACTTGCTGGGTGATGTTCTGGTCCGGGAGATAAATCATCACTTGGTGGGTGATGTTCTGGTCCGGGAGATAAATCATCACTTGCTTGGTGATGTTCTGGTCCGGGAGATAAATCATCACATGGTGGGTGATGTTCTGGTCCGGGAGATAAATCATCACTTGATGGGTGATGTTCTGGTCCGGGAGATAAATCATCACTTGCTGGGTGATGTTCTGGTCCGGGAGTTGAACAGTACTTTTGTGCTTGGGAGTACGAAACTGCTCTAGTTTTAGGGTTGGGGAGGGGAGTTGTGTTATGATTATGGAGATATGGGGCGGCAGGGACGGGACCTGATTCAGGGTCAGGGAGGGTCTAATATTTTGAGACTGAACCATTGGTAACCTTAGTGGTATCAGCCATCACTGGCTTACTGGCAAGCACTGAACAACCCGTTGCCTCAGAGGTACCAGCCATCACTGGCTTGTTAGTAAGCACTGGATAGCCAGTTGTCTAAGTGGTACCAGCCACCACTGGCTTGCTAGTAAACAGGGTATTTCCAGGTTCCACTGGGCTACCGGCGGTGGGACGTGTAGTATTCGAGAATACCCTCGAAATAATAATTATTGTCAATACCAAAAGCCCGAATTCTCCCATAATTACCAACGTGGCTGGGGAGAGTAAGTATGAATACCTGCAAGACCATCTCTAGTCCCACAGGTGAATTTCAAGGCTTGTAACATCTTTTATAGCTTGTATACCTTCGAAAATTATACCTATTACAGGCCAGGTTGTTGGAGCCCACAGCTGGTTAACTTAGGTTATAATCTAGGTAGTACCTTCGGCTTAAGTGCACTTGCCTACCAACGTACTGTACAGTGCACTACGAGGTAACAAATCTAATCTCACTAAATTACAGCAAAATCATCTAAGAATGTGCGTATTCCAAGATAATTAACTGTTGCTCCTTCAACTGCAAATATTCCTGCTGCTGCTATTACTACTGCTGCTGCGACTACTACTACTGCTACTAACACTACTTCTCCTACTGCTGCTACTACTACTACTATTAATACTAATAATGTAACTTTCTCCTGTTTGGTGAAAGACGTAATCGCTGAAAAATCTGTCGATGAGCCTCACATAAACAATTCTGACGATCCAGTTTTAACAATCAAATCCAGAATGATAGTCTTAGGAATTACCCCTGGTCAATGGAGGGTTCAGGAGCGTCGCCCTTGTGTTATGGAGGAATAGAGGCGTGGATGGCCTGTGTTGGCCAGCTCCACTTAGCCACAGATGCTGAGGTCAACAGCCTTGTTACTGCGGTCTCAGACCATCCTTGCATGACTCCCGCACATTCGAGCTGCCATTTTGAATATGGGAATGTGTCAAGGAGTGGGGAGGAGGAGGCGCTCTCAAACCTGCTGTCAATTTTCATTTATTAGCAGTGTGGACTGACAGCGTGTGTGTTTGTGCGGTGGGAAATAGCGAGTTTTGCTGGCCCACTGGAGTCAAACTCCTCCATTAGGCGTGGCGATGCCTGTTTGACAGTTTAATATTCCGTGTTGGAGAGGAAATTAAGATATAAATCATCTGCAGGAAAGACCGGGCTGCCTTGCACGTGCCTACCTCCTAAGAGTGAGCGAGGAGGGAGCTGTGTTGCAAAAGTGGAAAGGCTGGGAAGCCTGTGTTGGCAGCCCCGCGGGGTTCCATGACTACCAGCAGTAAGCGTCCGCCTCCCTCCCACAATGACGAATCCATGCAAATTTGGCCTCAGCTTGCAGTAATTTCCCCGCTGCGGCTCCACTTCTGGCGTTTATGCAAAGTTTTAGTACATATTGTAATTATGTATTATATGTAACCTAACTTATGGTAATATTATGCCATGTTTAGAGAGATCTGCCGTCTGTCTCCGGTACACTTCAACTCCAGAAAGAACGGTGTTATTTTAACTACTCGTCTATACAGTCAGTTTACCTGCTGAATTCTCTTAGCTGTTTGTTTACGAGAGATAGTATGCTATCAAAGGAGTCATCAACTGCTGATTCAGTACATAAGGCTGTTAAGGCTGCTAGTCAACAGTCCCTCACAATGTGGTTCGTGCTAGTCGCCGGGCAAGAACAGTGGCCCCCGCCATTTTTTGGTCTGGTGCCGGCGGGAGGAGGGCAGACGCATCGCACAGCATCTCTTGTTAGCACACACCAATATACGGGCGCTAAACACTGTAATAATTTGATGATGGTCTTGTTTGGACGCCTCTCCCGTACCTGAATACATCGCCGGGTGTTCTAGTGGGCGGAGAATCCGTGTGTTGGTTCATAAGCGAGGAACCTTTGGCTCGGCAAGGCCCTAAGTCTTCCGCAAGTCTCTTTAAAGAACTTCTGTCATTTTATTGTTGTTTTTGTTACAGTTAATGATATAGTAGGAAGCAACTGTTATTCTAGTCACAGGTAATGTTACTGTTAATGGTGAGGTGGTTTTAGGATCTCATTAGCGTGGAGAAAAGGTTGCCTGGCAGATTGAAGGAAGCGGTCAGAGAAGCCCTCAAACTGCCAGCTAGCATGCGAGGTCTTCATGCCATTCTCGGAGCGACAAGTGTACACAGACCTCCACCACTATCGTTAGTGATACATTTTTCAACACCTATGTCTCCAGTACGTATTATGTTATCATTTCGAAGCTATATATGGAAGCTGTTATCATAAATAGGCTATCCTAATTTCTCGCACCCTGTTGTTGTTGAGATGGCATGCCTTCGCCTGCCAATAATCGCCAGGTATGGTGGCATCTCCTGCCAGACAAGCCTTACCACAAGACTCACTATTTTCACACTCTAGAATATATTTGTATGGCAATAAATAATGAAACGCTACTTATTATTTCCACCTCAAAGGACGGGCATGGTGATTAAACAGCGGGGAACGATGATCCGTGGGAGAGGAAAGAAAATCAGTAGCTCTTGAGAGTGGAGTCATACCACAGCGACCTTATCGTCGCCAAGCACCGTTGTTTTGTAGCAAGGTGCTCGTCTTGTATGACCACAGACAATATGTCACAGCCTACTTAACGGCTCCCACTTAGCTATATAACGTGCATTAATAATAACAAATTCGCGTTCGCAGTCATGTTGTCTTTCGTGGGGTGACTGAGGCGTCGTCCTCCTGCCAACCTACTTGTGTACAGTGTTACCGTCTTGGTCCTGCTTGCCCTTGCTCAGACGCATGACAAACAGTACAATTGTATATATAACGTTTATAATATAAGTTGGGCATATACAGATAAGATATCAACATTATTTCAGCATTTAGAATGAAGGGAAGTTAGCGAATATTAGTATTGTGCCGAGTAAGCCTGCTAGATTCAAACGGATCTTCAAGGAGTGGCTGGGGCTGGACACGCACGCCTGCAGACACTCTCCTTGGGTCATTCATCTGCATGGAGAACCTCCGCACGTGATCTTAACCCATGCCCGGTCCTGGTTTATTCAGTTTTTGTGTGGATGTGTGCATTGTACTCAGCGGGAATATTGCAGTGCTAGGGTGGCCCCACCCTGCCATAATCGCCCTCAAATAAATTATATACCGAGAGGAATGAGATGAATGGCTGCCTGCTGGAACAGATGCGACGCCAAGATTTCGAGGAATACTTCATCTGCGAACTTGTTCACTTACCAATGACTGTAATTTGAAAGCTGGGACATTCCTGGCATCGCAGTGACAGCGGCCCAAATTGCTACTTGACTCGTCGCGGTTCAAACGA